TTACAAACAAATAAATTTTAGTTTTTAATATAGTACAAAAAAAGTAATCTAAATTTACGAATGCGTGTACTGTAAATACAGTACATACTTGTATATATTTTAATATGATTTTATGTGCTTTAAACGTTTATCTAGTGATATTACGACTTCAATATTTGTGGCGGACAGACGTAAAGTCGAATAAAATGACTTAAACTTGATTTTTATTTTTCCATATACTTTTTTAACAAGCGACGTATAATCGGGAACGACGTAACTCGAAACCGACGTAAGTCGAGTTTTTATTTTTCCATATACTTTTTTAACAAGCGACGTATAATCGGGAACGACGTAACTCGAAACGACGTAAGTCGAGATATGCCTGTATTGACTCATTGTGAAAAATTCTAGAGTATTACTATTTGCTGTACAGCATCGAGCTAAATCTTGCCATAGTTAATGAAACATTCTTTCCTGTTATAATTTTTTCCTGTGATTTTGATCTAGGACTGCTAAGAGAGCCTTTATTCTATTCCGTTTTTGAGCTTAAAAACTTTTAAAATAATGGTATGGAATGCGAGTTTTTGGAATTTAACAGGTTTTTACGTGTTTACGTTTATATATTAAACTTCCATCTAAGATGTTTGATAACTCAGATAATCCTTGGATCACAACAGTAAAGTGGATGAAACCACTGAATGCTGGTAATTCAGCTCGGTTTCGCGACTAACCAATGGGCTGACTAATGGAGTTTTTCGAATTATTCATGTGTCTGACATCTAAATAGAAGCATGTTTCTAGTCGACAGATCGCCCATGTGTTGCGTTGTCTTATTCTATTGGTGTAATCTAATTCATGCTGTTTTCACTAAAATATTTATACAACTTTTGCTAATTAAGGCTATATTTAGTAAGATCCACTCCTGATATCACAAAAATGGCTGAAACAAAAATATACAATGAAATTACAGCATGAGATTTTTTAAATTCAATTTTAAACTTTAATTAGACACGATTTTGAATGTTTTTATATATTTTTAGGTATTTTGAATAAATTTTTGTCTCTTGATGCGTTTGTCATATTGGACCGTCTTGTGGCATGGATGTACATTTTAAACAGCGTGATAATTCTTTACGTTATTGGAGAAATAAGAAGTCCTATACCTATGACAGAAATTAATTTGGTACTATACATTTACTTTATTTATATCGCAGAACTGTGCAAAATTTTAAATTAATAATATTCTACTATAAATAATTAAATTACATTTTAATTATTATTAAGTAATATAATTCTATACAATTTTTTTTAAATACTAAGAACAGAAAAAATCTATATCGGTGTTATGGATATAAATATTAATGAGAGGGTGAAAAGGTATACATAGTGAAATCTGTGAACAACGACCACTAAGAAAACAAAGAGAAAATGGCCGCTGTTCGGAGGTGACCGTTGTTTGCAAATCATTTTGTATGATGCATTTAAAAAAAAAATGTCCCTGAAAAAATGGCCGTTGTCGAAAATTATACTGAATAGGCGCCAGATTACTCATAGAAGTTCTCCGGGAAGAATTGTACTTGGCAGATCGCACACGTGTTGCGTTGCCGTACCTATACAACAGAACTTATAATTTATTGTGGGTAATACGGAATAAATTATCGATCTCCATGATCTGTGCTGATTGACTCCGTTACTATCACGTTTCAATATATCTAACTATATCTGACTATATAGCGGACTAATTGTTAATGTTTTGTTTTATTCAACAAATCAATCAATCTTTTTAACGGTAAATTCCCTGATGTCCATCACTATAAAACAATGCCAAAAAAATAAATTAACAGGATGAGAACAGTGAAAATCTCACTCGTATGCCTTTTCGCCAATCTATATATAAGTTTTAATTTTTTTAAATTAAAATGAAAATAAATTGAAATGTATATAATTTATGTTTCTTACACTTTTCTAGTGGATGCTGTTTCTATTTGTTACATTCTTCACATTTATTGCATGGATTTTTGGCTACATATTTCTCCAGATACCATTTACGTACTTATTTATTCTGCTGTTATCCTGTTGTCAAAGAAAGAAAAGTTTGAAAATATCGGATTCAAAAGTGGAATCGTTAAACTAAAGAAATCACTTTGCTATATCTATGAAAATAAATAATTAATTATATTTTAAACTTACACAAATATATTTTGCAATAAGATATTTTAATGCTTAACTGAATGAAGATTGATTAATTGATTTGTGGATTCTTTTGTCTGTGTAAGGGGTGTTTCTGCAAAAATAATTTAACTGCTGTAAAATTAAAATTGTTTTACTGTTTTCTACTTTATTCCAAGCTTAGAAATGTATGAATTATGCAAATACTTATTAAAATAGTTTAGCCTGAGATGTGGAGTGCACTTACTATGGCCGAAGTTTTCTATAAACAAAATTTTCTGTGACTAATTCTCATTTTCTAGCTTCTGACGTTATGTTTCTAAGCGACAACGCGACTAATAATCGATCTGACGAGAGTGATGCCTCCCGGGAGGACTTCCTATGAGAAACTGGCCCCTATTCAGGTATTACAACGTGAAGAAAACCCGGAAAACTCCACGCGGCCAGCCCGTTGGACTGACGCGAAACCACGACCAACTACCGGTGTTTAGTGGTTTTATCCACTCGGCCACTGGTGGGCCGAAATTTTCACTTACTCAGAAGCATTGCTATATCGGCCATTTTAGATAGTTTTCGAATGATATTTATTATGCTACGTAGAAGCAAACTGAATATAACATATGAACGTTGCAAAAGATTCTTTTTATGTTTTTCATATACTTACGCCACCATAAAATATTTTCTGACAACTCCTGTTTCAATTTAAACTTACTTCAACGTCACCTTTTTTCATTTTGCTATAACTGTACAATTAAATAATAGTCTCAATAGACGTCTACGTAGTGCAATTGTCATATCACAATGAATTTAATATTTGTCCGAGTTTTCCTAAGGCAAATGTATTCCTGAATGAATTAACGCCTTTGTAAAGTGAATCAGTATCAGAATACAAAGAATCATTCAGAAGTGAATCGCTACAGTCTTTATAAACATTTTATTGATACTGTTTCTTGATAATTTACATAATTATCGAGAATGAGTGTCAATAATATATTTGATTATGTAAATTTTTAAAAAGTAGTATTGAACGGTCGTAATAAAGAGCCGTTCAAATGATTTTTTGTCGCAGTAAATCTGGGCACACACTGTCTCTTTTTATTCATATCCCTTAGTTCGAGTAGGGTCGAAAAAATCGACTCGAGCATTTTAGCCATCTGAAACACAAAATTCAATATTAAACTGTAAATGTCTTCTAAATAGAAAGTCAAATTTGTGTCATGTCAAAGTTACTGACTGAATATATATATATACATAAATATATATATATATATATAACCCTATATATATGTTAACGGCTAAACCCGATTTCAGGGCAAATGGGTTTATCCTACGCGTGTCAGGATATACTAGTTTAGCCTGAAATCGGGTTTGGCCGATAACATATACGCCATCGCTCATTTGTCAAATTTATTCGTTATATTAAATCGTTATGTTTAAATTTATCGATGACCAAGACAACGAAGACCCTGACGTTGTGAGGATCCTCGATTCGAATCGTGACAAAGACCTCAGGAATTTTTCGTAAGGTGTTTGTTCGCGTTATGTTAATTTAACCCTGACCTTCGCATCTCTGTGCCCAGCAGAATTCATATTTTGTTTAGGAAAATATTATTTTGGAACATCATAATTTAAAAAAACTTGAAAATATACATTCGCTGTTATCTAAATTAGTAGTAATTTATGTACTTTTTTTATAGAATATAAAACTTGAAAAAAACTTTTCGAAAGTATTAAAATTGAAATTTTAAGTTTCCGTTCTGGACAGAAATTTTCTGTATATTAATAAATACATTTAGTTTTCTGAGGGGACAGATAAATCTTACTGTCTCATAATTTAAACGATTGGACGTCGCACGTGTCTTGCTTCAGACATAAAAAATTTCCCTTGCATGCTGCATTATTACAGAAGCAACGTCTTCCATTTACGTATCGAATTAATTTGCAATTCCATCCTAGTTAGTAGCCGTCTTGTCCATTACAGGCGTAATCAGATCAATACTTGTCCATTAGTTAGAATTATGTTGACAGACATAAGTTAACCACTTAAGGAAGAATGTTTATAATTTCTGATTTATTACACAAACCTTTTAAGAATATATTAAAGATATTTAAGTACCCTCGTTATGAAAGATTTTCTACTTCTACATAATGTAGGTTAATACGTTAAAAATATATGGGTATGCAGCGAAATAAAGCAGCGAACATAAGGAGGCCCGTCAGGACTTAGGTCGCACATTGTCTACAGATTTCACCGTTGTCCGTACTCTCACGCCACTTTACCGGAGCATTCAGACATCCCTCCTCGCCAGCACGTAGCGGCTTTAAAAACTTTTGTATATCGATCGAACCGCTTCGCATAATAGCAAGGCGGAGTACATCGGAGAAAAGGCCAAAACACTAGCAACTCCATATAAACCCTGTTAAAGAAGAAAAAGAAGAAACAGCGAACTGCCCAATACAAAGATTGACTTAGACTGCATAAACTATTAAATTGAAGATCTCCGTTCTAATTCGTTATAAAATCTGAATTGGTAAATTGTATTCGTTGTCGATTTCAAATCATGGATTCTTCTTTACAAACGTCAATTCAAATCTCAAAAGAAACGTCATCAATTCATCCCCTTTGTTATTTGCATCCATTGCTTATAGTTGGATCTCTATTTGGTATGAACCCAATACAACATTGCAGTTGCTGCAGTTTTATGAGTCAATACATTATACAACGTAACAAAAAAAGTATTCTCTGTACCAATTATACCAAATAGGAATAGAAATCTTTTTATGGTTTACCGTGTTAAGAGTATTCGTAAATATCTTCAACGACAGAATCTTATGTGGAGGATGGACTTTAATGTGCTATTCAAATGACATCTTAAAATTATTGATATGTTTCTTCTGCAGTTACGTTAGCATTCAGTATTCTGTTATTAAAAAATCGCAATTCTGTTGGTTGAGCAACAGAAATGAATTCTATGGTGAAATGAAAATATGGAAAAGATTAAATAAGTTCGTGCTTTGTGTTTTCATTATCTTTATCGTAGTTCTATTATCCATATGCATTTGTACGGATATTTTGTTGTATCCTGGTATACTTAAGCAGACAAATTCGCATATCACTGCTGTCTTATGTTTAATTTACTTCAGAGTTTATTTCCTGTACAGCATCGCTCAAATATTATTTGTAGCATGTATTTTTACATCTGTATCGTATATTACACATCACAGATTAATTAATATTGGAAACGAGATGAAAGAAATCGACAAACAAACGCCTAAACTGAAACAAATAATAAATGATTTAATTGAAAAACACACGGAAATATGGGAAATGTTTTAGCAGATAAATGAACTGTGGGAACATTTCATGCCTTGTATTTATATTTTCTTCACTCATTTTACTTGTTTTCTGATATATGCACTATTGTTCATGAACCTTAGGATTCTCTTAATGTTAGTATTAATAATTTTATCAGTTGTATTGATAGCTGGATGCCTGATTATAGCGTATTTTCTGTCAAAAATATCTTACAAAGTAAGTGAAGAAAAGCTGTTTAAATACATTTTATTAATGTTTTAACATTTTATTAATGTTTTAACATTTGTTCCTATGAGATATTCTAAACGTGAATATCTCGTGGAAACATATAGGAGTATCCTATAAAAGAGAATTTTAAATTATTCGTTACATCCAAATTATGGGTATGATATTTTATATAAAATATCAGAAATTATTATTGTTATTTTTAATATACACAATATGAAGTAGAGATAGATAAGGAAATTCTGTTGTTTAAGTGTAATAATTTTAATTTATCTGAGGTAGAAAACTGATTTGTCTTATTCCAAATGTGTTCTAAATAAAATTTTGACATAGAAAGTTTGTTCCGTTGAAATTTATTCCAAAAGTTATAAATAATTTAAATTATCTTTTACTGTACTCGAGCATAATTAAAAATATTCTATAGTAATTTGTTGAAAAATTGAATAAAATATTAAATAATTTACGTATGAAAATATTATTTGAATAAGAGTTATTTACAAGTATGTTTCTTCTTTCAGTTGTACAGTGACTTTAATACAATCGAGAAGATTTCTTCTGCCGAACTTCAGCTTCGGTTAAAGCTAAAAGTTTGCTCTTTATTATTTTCTTAATGCAAAATACATATAAATGTTTCATGTTTTTACAATATTTGAATTAATTTATTAAATTTCTTTTCATTTCAGATATTGGATTTTATGAAACGCTTTGGAAAAATGCCACTCGGAATTTCTTTCGCCGGATACTTTTTCGTAAAGAAGACATTTTTCATCAAGGTATGGTTAATTCTATGGCTAGAAATGAGTAATTGATGAAGTTTTTATAACTAAAATTAATGAATATGCTTCACAATTAATTATTTTATTCTTAATTTCAGTTAGTCAAACTATTATATTCCATATTCTCTTCGTTACTGCAATTAAGAGGTGCCACCAAAACCAAAAATTGTGTTGCTGATTTAAAAATTGCCACTAATTTAATAAATGCTACTGTAAACTACGGAAAAAACTTTACTTTATATGAATTTGGGCAAACTACGCTTTAGCTTCCTACAAAACTGATCACAACTTTTTTTCATAATTTTGATTAATTTTCGTAATGTTTACTGTAGCGAATAAGAAGATTTTCTGTTTGATTGAACACACATTAGTTTAGAGTTTGAAAATCCAAACTTCACTTTGCTTAAAAGAAAAGAAAAGCGAAGCAAAGATACGTTGGTGGATGCATCCATTTTTAAACGAAGACAAAAACGATGGATTTAGCTGCATTAATTTCTTCATTAGTGTCTATTTATCTGGAACTCTATATAAAATAAGTGCGGTAGTTACTAGCATTCGTATAAATTCGAAATTAAAAATTTCATCAAAAGTTTGAACCATAAACATGGGTGCGCATTATATACGGCAAAATACAATAGTTGGTTTTTTGGTTCGAGGAAAAGTTTGCTTCGTATGCCACGATTTCTAGCCCCTTAGTACAGAAAGTTGAAGATTAATGTTATTAAAAGTTATGAAATTTTAAGTTTTCGTTCTTGACTCAAATTTTGTTTATATTAATAAATATATTTAGTTTTCTAAGAGGACAGATAAATCTTACTGTCTCATAATTTAAACGATTGGACGTCGCACGTGTCTTGCTTCAGACATAAAAAATTTTGTTTGCATGCTGCATTATTACAGAAGCAACGTCTTTCATTTACGTATCGAATTAATTTGCAATTCCATCCTAGTTAGTAGCCGTCTTGTCCATTATAGGTGTAATCTGATCAATACTTGTCCAGTAGTTAGAATTATGTTGACAGACATAAGTTAACCACTTAAGGAAGAATGTTTATAATTTCTGAATTATCATAAAATCCAAGAATATATTAAAGATATTTAATGTACCCTCATAACAAAAGATTGTCTACTTCCACGCAACGTACAGTACGTCAATACGTTAGAAATGTATGGATATGCTGCGAAATAAAACAGCAAATTGTTCAACAGAAAGATCGACTTATAGAACTGTTAAATAGAAAAACTTCATTGTAATTCATCAGAAAATATGCATGTTAACTTGTATTTGTTGTCAATTTCAAATAATGGATTCTTCTTTACATACGTCAATTCGAATCTCAAAAGAAACGTCATCAATTCATCCCTTTGCTATTTGCATCCATTGCTTATAGCTGGATCCCTATTTGGTATGAACCCAATAAAACATTGCAGTTGCTACAGTTTTATAAGTCAACACATTATACAATGTAACAAAAAAAGGTATTCTCTGTACCAATTATATCAAATAGTAATAGAAATTTTTTTATGCTTTACCGTGTTTTCAATGACAGAATCTTATGTTAAGAATGGACTTCAGTTTATTTCAATTACATATTGAAATTATTGATGAGTTTCTTTTGCAGTTACGTTAGCATTCAGTGTTCTGCTGTTAAAATATCGAAATTCTGTTGGGTGAGAAACTGAAATGAACATCATATGATTATTCATTAACCTTAAGATTTTTTATAATGGTACTGTTTATCATTTTATCAATTTTGTTCATAGCGAGATTTCTAATTATGGCGTATTTTCTATAGAAAATTTCTTCCATAATAAATGTTGAAAAGTTGCTTAAGTTCATTTTATTAACAGTTTAACATATGTTCCTATGAGATATTGTAAGCGTGATAAATAGCAGAGAAATTCGAATAAATCATATTTGAGTTGGCTTATCTAAAATACCACAAATGAAGTGTATTTATATTCATTTTAATACATTGTATGTAAAATATGAAATTCACATTGTTAAGAGAAATCGCTCGCTTAAGCCCAATATTTTAAAATTATCCCAACAAAACTTCAACCGAAAATGTCTTAATTATTCCAAATATTTTTCAAACAAATAGTTATTAGAGAGTTTTCGGCAGACGTTTGCAGCTTAAATCGTAAACGCCTGACGTCGAACGATGCAATTAGGCAATTCTAAAAGGTTGACAATGGCGTTCGCTACGTCTGGCATGGCGAGTAAAAGTTCGGCTTAAACTTCTTCATTTTTCTGCGTTTAAGCTTAAAATTCTGACGAATTTATTTAAAAAATAATTACTTATACATTAGGAAATAACACTGTAAAGTAACAGACGAATTTAATTTAGAAATTATTTAGTTATTCAATTTTCTTCAAGTTAGGTAAAGTGCCTATAGAATTTGCATATATTTGTATTCATAATAGCTTATCATAATTCTGTAGAAGTTGATTTGTTCTTTCATAGAATCTTCTACTATCAACGACATAAAACGTTTGTACAGTTTCTAAAAATAATATTTCGAATTGCATTCGGATCTACATAAGCCAATACTTCCCTCAAGAAAAGTACTTTATAATTGATGCTTTCAGTAATACAGTGACTTTAATACAACCAAAAAATATCTTCTGACAAACTTCAGCTTAAGTTCTAAGCGAAAAGTTTGCTGTTTTATTAGTTCTGAAAAACACGCTTTATAATTAAGTATAAGTAAGTATTTTCGTTTTAATTACAAATAGTAAAACTTTTATATTCCATATTCTCTTCGTTACTGCAATTAACAGGTGCCACCATAACCAGAAATTATGTTGCTGAATTAAAAACTCGATTAGTAATTCAATCACAGCAAATTGATAAATATTCTCTGTTGGAAGTTGGAAAGAGGTCGGTGAAAGTTCACCAACGTATAAGAAAACTGTTCGAATTCCATCCTGATCGTCATAGTTTATAATAAGAAGTATTGGTCGAGACAGCGCCGTTCATTCCTGATAGCAGACCACATCGAACCGCCAAATGTCCAGCCGTAAATATATCGTCCTACAGCTCTGAACAACTCAAGATCCATTCCGAATAAATCTAAAAATCCCAGAAATTTTTAAAGGTTGTCTATCCGAATACGCCGAAACCGTTTCTCTCTCTTCGGTCGACCTGTTGTGGTCAGACCAAACCTATAATGATCTTGCTAAAATAGACACACGCTGAGCCCAAAAACAAAAAGAAGTATTTAAAAAAATGCAATACACCAGACATCACTGTAAGTCACATACACAGTATTATTCCTAATAGAATACTCTAAATAAGTTAACTATTTTCCTTTTTTTTACTAAACGTTCGGTTGACAATTTTAAAATATCAATATTTTTGAGCAAAAAATAAATTGTATTATAAAAATGAATGGTTTTGTTACAACCAATAAACATACATATATACAGCAACGCGACACACGGGCGATCTGCCAAAAACAGTCTTTTATAAGAAAGTGTCTCCTATTTAGGTTTTATTAACGTCAAAAAATTCTATGTGACTAGCAGGTTCATCAGGCCCAAACCCACTATCCGATACCTGCATCCAATTGTTTTATTCACCCGTCTACTAGTCAGCCGTAAGAATAAATGTGAATAAGTAATTTATATTTTGGAATTATTTCTGGCCTTCTGCCGGGTGAAGTTAGTGACAGGAAATAAATTCCATTCGAAGCCACGGAACCATCGTCAAGGTCTCACCCTCTTCCGTGGGTTTTTTGTTTGTCCAGAAACCCCGTAATGAATAGGCAGAATCGTCATTACGGGAAAAACTGGAATGGCGCCATTTCCGAAACGAAAGTACTGCTAATGTCTTTGAAAGTTTGTTGAAAACTATTATTGTAGATTTGATTGACGCATCAGACGAGCAACACACTGTACACTCTTGCTTCTCCTGGTTTGCATGTAGTGCATGTTACGTCGCGAATTTAATACATTTCGATGTAGTTAAATCAGAAGAAGCACGAATCTCGGAGCAATAATAATAAGATGAAGGATGTTTTTTTAAATATTTCAGATTAAGTTCATACTTGAAATAAACGTAAAATCGTAAGTAATCAACCAGTAAAGCGCTAATTATGGCCACATATCTTTTGCCTTACTTGGAAGCTGAAAATAAAAAGACTTTATATTAATAATAACTCTTGCAATGATCAAAAGTTGGATTTATACTTATCTTTTATTTATGAAGACAACGCGAATCTTAAACTTTAAATATTAAAAGTAAAACACAAAATAAGAAATTCTTGGCGTAAATAATAAAACTAAAGATGAATTTGTCACAACAAAACAAAGCTAACAAATGATTATTATTACATTGTTACTTAATATTCATTTTAAATTATTGTTTCAATTGAATTGTTATTGTAATTAGACATTTTTTAAAATAAAGTTTACTTAAATATAACATAAAAATAAATAAATTAAAATAAATATAATTGGAAATATTAAAATATGATTTTGTGAATGGAAACATTACACGTTGTATTTGTGTTTCCGAATGCACGTGCTTATAATTTATATAGAACGAAACTATTTATGACGTACTGTACAGTGACTCTCCTATAACACGATAGATACGTTCCGTGTTTTATGAAATTCATGTTTTACAAGTCTTTAAATACATGATCCAATCACAGCCCGGCACGTATGCAGTTTTCGAATTACGGCTGTTTGAAATGTTTCCTTCCATAAAATTAATCGATTCTAGACTAATTTGACTCAACGCTTCCAAAACACATAATAATTTATATCCATAAAAAGTATGCTAAATACAAAAAAAAATTAGCGGATTATACTCGAGTGTGCACCGTTCGACGACGCCATTGCGTAAGCTTGTTCTCCTTGTGATATGGCGTATCAAACGGCGGGCTCGTATTTCCTGATAAATTATTTTTCTGCGAAAAATTTGCTGAACTTTGGACACATCATTAATATAAATATAATTTTTATGGCCTTAAATAATAAATGGATTTTGGTAGGTTCGCTGCTCGTTTAAACTGAACGATTTGATCAACATCCGATATTGGTCTAGATTCGACCAATCCTGTCGCGACACGAGTCTGTGATGACGTTTTATCGTTTCATACGAGTCTCTTTTAGCGTGTTTATACGAATACAATCGCAATTTTTCGCCGTTATATACGTATCCGCATAATATACGCGTTTTACGTTACGTTGCAATAGAAGTCGTTTATCTCACTTTAATGGCCATAAACGTCGTTTATGTCACTTTAATAATCATAGGCGTCGTTTATGGTACATAGGTGACCATAGGAGTCGATTATGTCACTTATGTGGCCATAGGCTTCGTTTGTGTCACTTAGGTAGCCATAAACGTCGATAACGTCACTTTCGTAGCCACAGGCGTCGTTTACGTCACTTTGGTGACCATAGGCGTCGTTTACGTCACTTTGGTTGCCATAGGCGTCGTTTATGTCATTTTGGTGGTCATAGGCGTCGCTTATGTAACATAGGTGGCCATATGCGTCATTTATATCACTTAAATAGCCATAGGCGCCGTTTATGTCACTTAGTTGGCCATAGGCGTTGATTATGTCACTTTGGTAGCCAGAAACGTAGTTTATGGCACATTGGTAACCATAGGTATCGTTTATGTTTCTTTGGTAGCCATAGGCGTCGTTTATGTCACTTTGGTTGCCATAGGCGTCGTTTATCTCACTTTGGTGGCCATAGGAGTCGTTTATGTCACTTTAATGGCTGTAGGCGTCATTTACGTAATCTTGGTGGCTATATGATCGTTTATGTCACTTTGGTGGTAAGAAACATAGTTTATGGCGCATTGGTGACCATAGGCGTCGTTTATGTTACTTTGGTAGTTATAGGCGTCGTTTATGTCACTTAGGTGGCCATAGCGTCGATTACGTAACTTTCGTGGCCACAGGCGTCGTTTACGTTATGTGAAATTCGAAGTTAATAAAAGCATTTAATCCTTTAAAAGTTTAATAAATTTAAAATAAAAATGCCCTCAATCAAAGGAATTTGACTTTACAAAAACGAAATATAAAGCACATGAGAGAATTATAACTTTTTTTGTTTAACTATATACATTTTCACGATCAAACCGTATATAGTTTACAGTTATCGGCGAAATTCGTCATATTGTTGTCGTTTTAACACCACCTTTAACCTCACACCTGCTAAAACAATTCATCATCTGACGAATTTTCCCACCAAAAAGGTATACAAGCCATCCTCCTTCCTTTCCTCTGGGGAATCGCTGAACAAGAAGTCGCCATCGCACCATCAAAACAAACATTTGCTTTTTTTTAAACAGTTGCACCACATATTAAAAGACCTTCGATCTCAACCCGCAACTTCAATCCCGCCTTTCAGAAATTACAGGCCTTTGCTATTATCGCAAGAGGTATGAACGCTTTATTGTAAGCTATCTCTCTCATACGCGAATGAGACGTACCGTGTTAGAACGTTTGTTTTATTTTTTTTGCTGTTTCTTTGCAGACACACTAAGGTGATATATATCAACACTTGGCAACAATTTATTACAGACAAATAATAAAACGTTTGTTTTATTATTTGTCTGCAATAAATGGTTAATTTAGATAAATGGTGTCTTTATTCGACTATGCCAACGCCTTCTCGTCGACCCCTCCGACTCTCCTCCACTCGCGTAACGCGTAACCGAACGTTACTATCATTTCTGAAAAGAAAGTAGGTGACTGACAAGTGGCCGAAAGAAAAAAACTTCTCTTTTTTTCCGGTGGCTCACAGTTACTTTGATGGCCATAAACGTCGTTTATGTCAATTTAATAGCCATAGGCGTCGTTTATGTCACTTAGGTAGCCATAGGCGTCATTTATCTCACTTAAATAGCCATAGGCGTCGTTTATGTTACTTAAATAGCCATAAGCGTCGTTTATGTTACTTAGGTGGCCATAAACGTCGATTATGTCACTTTAATGGCCATAAGCGTCGTTTACGTCACTTTGGTGGTTATAGGCGTCGTTTATTTAACTTTTGTGGCCATAGGCATCGTTTATCTCACTTCTATGTGCCTTTTCGGAGTTCTTTCCTAGCATTTGTTCCCTATCGGTGCAGGATCCACTTCTTTACAGGCATTGCCGATCTATCGCATCATATAGTGTTATTTTATTAAAAAATAAATTGTATTATAAAAATAAATGGTTTTGTTTCAACCAGTAAACATACATATATACAGCAACGCGACACACGGGCGGCCTGCCAAAAGAAGTCTTTTATGGGATAGTGTCTTATATTTAAATTTTATTAACGTCAAAAAATTCCATGTGACGTCAGGCGCAAACCCACTATCAGATACCTGCATTTAGTTGTTTTATTCACTCGACCACTGAAGAGCCGTAAGAATAAAAGTGAATAAGTAATTTATATTTTGGAATTATTTCTGGCCTTCTGCCGGGTGAAGTTAGTGACAGGAAATAAATTCCATTCGAAGCCACGGAACCATCGTCAAGGTCTCACCCTCTTCCGTGGGTTTTTTGTTTGTCCAGAAACCCCGTAATGAATAGGCAGAATCGTCATTACGGGAAAAACTGGAATGGCGCCATTTCCAAAACAAAAGTATCGCTAATGTTTTTGAAAGTTTGTTGAAAACTATTATTGTAAATTTGATTGACGCATCAGACAAGCAACACACTGTACACTCTTGCTTTTCCTGGTTTGCATGTAGTACATGTTACGTCTCGAATTTAACACATTTCCATGTATTTAAATCAGAAGAAGTACGAACCTCGGTGCAATAATAATAAGATGAAGGATGTTTTTTAAATATTTCAGATTAAGTTCATACTTGAAATAAACGTAAAATCGTAAGTAATCAACCAGTAATGCGCTAATTATGGACACATAGCTTTTGCCGTACTTGTATGCTGAAAATAAAAAGACTTTATATTAATAATAACTCTTGCAATGATCAAAAGTTGGATTTATACTTATCTTTTAGTTATGGAGACAACGCGAATCTTAAACTTTAAATATTAAAAGTAAAACACAGGAAATAAGAAATTCTTGCTCTGGATATTAAAACTAAAGATGAATTTGTCACAACAAAACAATACTAACAAATGAAAGTCATTGTTACTTCAACTTCATTTTCAATTATTGTTAAAATTCAATTGTTATTGTATTACATGTATTTTTTTAAAATAAAGTTACTTAAATATGACATTGAAATAAATAAATTAAGATAAATATAATTGAAAATATTAAAATATGATTTTGTGAATGGAAACATTACACGTTGTCTTTGTGTTTCCGAATGCACGTGCTTATAATTTATATAGAACGAATGAAACTATTTATGACGTACTGTGCAGTAGACTCTCCTATACCACGGTAGATACGTTCCGTGTTTTATGAAATTCATGTTTTACGAGTCCTTAAATACATGAGCCAATCACAGCCCGGCTCGTATGCAGTTTTCGGATTACGGCTGTTTGAAATGTTTCCTTCCATAAAATTAATCGATTCTAGACTAATTTGACTCAACACTTTCAAAACACGTATAATTTTATGGGAATAATCCATATAAAGTATGCTAAATACATAAAAAAAATTATCGGATTACTTACCGAGTGTGCACCGTTCGACGACGCCATTGCGTAAGCTTGTTCTCGTTGTGAAGTGGCGTATCGAACGGCGGGCTCGTATTTCCTGATAAATTATTTTTCTGCGATAAATTTGCTGAACTTTGGACACATCATTAATATAAATATAATTTTTATGGCCTTAAATAATAAATAGATTTTGGTAGGTTCGCTGCTCGTTTAAACTGAACGGTTTGATCAACATCCGTTATTGGTCTACATTCGACTAATCCTGTCTCGACACGAGTCGGTGATGACGTTTTATCGTTTCATACGAGTCTCTTTTAGCGTGTTTATACGAATACAATCGCAATTTTTCGCAGTTATATACGAATCCGCATTATATCAACCGCGTTTTATAGGGGGGTCTACTGTATTTCTTTTAGACAAATTTACAAGAGTATAATTTTCTTGTAGTAGACAAGCAGAAGAGATTGATGTAATTCAGTCGAGCTTTAGTTTACAAAGAATACTATCGTGTATCAAAAGAAGAAGTTAAATTACATTACAGTGTTACACAACTATATCCGTAAAATCTGAAAAGTACTGTCAGATTCGAAAACAATTGCGAAATTGTTACTTTTCGGTGTTTTTTAACACCAAATGAAGGAATGTCTAATATGAAACCATTTAAAAGTATTGGATAAATGCGAGTTAGCGCCTCACCATTTGGCTGACTACGTGCAGCCTGTCGGGTTTTCAGCGTGGGTCTAACATCTGAATACAAGCCAGTTTCCCATGAAAAGCTGTCCCTATACGAATGGCATGGTCCAAACCCAAGTTTTGGGTACCTTATCCCTACATTTTTACATTTAGTGCGTATACGTAAGGATCATCACCGACTAAACAGCTCATCACCGACTTGAAACAGCTCATCACGGACTATAAACAGCTCATCACCGACTATAAACAGCTCATTTTCGACTTGAAACAGCTAATCACGGACTTGAAGCAGCTAATCACCGACTAGAAACAACTCATCATTGACTGAACAGCTCATTTCCGACTTGAAACAGCTCATCACGGACTTGAAGCAGCTCATCACCGACTAGAAACAGCTCATCGCCGACTTTAAGCAGCTCATTATCGACTTTAAACAGCTTATCACCGACTTGAAACAGCTCATCACCGACTTCAAGCAGCTCATCACTGACTATATACAGCTCATTACCGACTTTAAACAGCTGATTTCCTACATTACATTTTTTTTGTAAAAAAGTGATTAATTCATGCACAAGATTTCAGGGTAATAGTTAGTAGTAAATTCATAATAAATAATATGGAACACCAGCTTTTCTTTTTGTGGATACCAGAAAATTTTTTAAATGACATGATTGATTTATATAATTCGGTCAATATATACTGTTAGGAAGTGTACTTTATAAAAAAAAAATTGAGCGTGCTCAATTTGCTGCAGAAAATAAAATAGTTTATCATAAGTAGTAAAGAAACAAACTTTTGTATTTATTTACAAGAGAATGGTTCAGAGAAGCAATTGAATACTTATTACAGAATAATTTATTTAGATACTAAAGCACTTAGCAATAATCTTTCAAGTTACGCATAGCCGAAAAACGAGAAGTGTCAACTGTTGCGTAACAATCTAACGAGAGTAAAAATGTTTTTTCAAAGTATTCGAAACAAGAAAAATAGCAAATTTTAGTATATTTCAATTACTGCTGCTGTAAATCTATATTGTCTCAATCAGACAATATAGGTCACTACGTAACAAATAAAAGATGTCTATAAAGATTTTGTCATAGTGAAAAAAAACCAATTATAGGTATAAAACAAACTAGTCTTTAAAATTCTATCTCTAGCTATGACCGAAAAATATACGTGCAATACCAAAGTTACGTTCTATAAACTTCACGAATACAATAAGAGAAAATACAGCTATATTACAGTGACGTGGAAGGACATTTAAAAAATCGCGGTTACCACGCAACATTCAAGAACTTGCCCTAGTAAGTGATGCGCTATTACCGAAATGCAAACTAGTAATTAGATACAGGTTAGTTGGATCTGCTAAGTAGATATTGATTTGCAGAAAAAAAATTCAAGTTTGTTAGAAATAATTATACTTTATACCATGGATATATTTTAAATATTACGTAGGAAATATATTTACAAACACAAGTACTAAAACAATGCTGTTCGAATGCTAATGAAAAAACCTTTTTAAAAAAACGAAGTAAAAATTAGAACAAGATACAAAATAACAACTTTCCTTTAAGCAAATGAAAAAGTCACATTTGTAACTTTTTTCTGATAAAAGAAAAGCTATATGAAGTAATAATTACAGGAAAGATTTATAAAAAACGACAGTTCCATATCCAAAAGTGTATTCTGTTTCTATAAAGCAATATCTCGTGAATTGACGAAGAGGTGTTTGGTAAAATTTACTTTTATCCAAAAAACTTATCCTTTTACATTAAATTGTAATATTCATGCATAAAAAGGGAAGGTTAGTATTTCAATTAGTTTAATAACATTAAAATAGAAAAATCAAAAACGCAACATTTAAAAATAGAAATAAGAAAGATATCTTTCAAAAACTACGAAAAGTGACAAGAGAACAAAGAGGAGATTAAAAGATAAATTTTGAACAGTTATGCAAATAAAAAATATTCAATAAAATAGTACGAACACTTTATGTTGGACAGATAAAGAAAGAAAAAAAAAAAGAAGACTCAAGAATTGATCAGTTTTCCAAGTATGTAAAATATAAATTCGCACTAATATATTGTTGAAATTCAGAATAGTTTTTTCATTCAGACTTGAAACAGCTCATCACCGACTATAAACAGATCATCACCGACTTGAAACAGCTTATCACAGACTGTTTATAGTCGGTGATGGCCGGAAAAAAAAACTTCTCTTTTTTTCCAGTGGCTCACAGTTACTTTGGTGGCCATAAACGTTTATGTCAATTTAATAACCATAAACGTCGTTAATGTCACTTATCTGGCCATAGGCTTCGTTTATGTCACTTCAATGGGCATACGCGTCGTTTACGTCACTTTGGTGGCCATTGGCGTCGTTTATGTCACATAGATGGCCATAGGCGTCATTTATGTCACTTAAATAGCCATAGGCGTCGTTTATGTCACTTAGATGGTTATAGGCGTCGACTATGTCACTTTAATGGCCATAAGCATCGTTTACGTCACTTTAATGGCCATAGGCGTCATTCACGTAACTTTGGTGGCCATAAGCGTTATTTATGTCACTTTGGTAACCAGAAACGTAGTTAATGGCACATTGGTGGCCATAAACGTCGTTTATGTTTCTTTGGTAGTTATAAACGTCGTTTATGTCACTTTGGAGGCCATAGGCGTCGTTTCTGTCACTTTAATGCCATAGGCGTCAGTTACGTAACTTTGGTGGCCATAGGCATCGTTTATGTTATTTTGGTGGCCAGAAACGTAGTTTATAGAACATTGTCAGAA